ACGCCATGGCACTCTAGCCCATGCAACAGAGTGAGACTCTGTCTCAAAAAAAAAAAAAAAGAAAAGAAAAGAATTCAGAAAGGTGACAAAGGCAAATATTCTTTTGACAATATTGGGAATGTATATTATTAGACAATAAGCTAGGTCATTTAGCTAGGCTTGTCTTCAAAACAAGATGTCTCCCATCTGCCTGGGAAGGTTCAACTATCTGTGTACCTGTCTGAATGGTAGGATAATACTTGACATCTGTGGAAGGATCCTAACTTTTTAGACTATTTTCACATTATTAATTGCAGCCTCACTACAGCCATGAGCAATAAGCAAGTCAAGAAGTATTTTTCCCATTTGACAAATTATAAATTGAGACACAGTAAAGATAAGTATCATAAAGCCCCACAGAAAAATAATAGCAGACAAGTCTATGACTCATTGAATCATCAAATCATATTTATCGAAAATCTATTATGTGCCCAGCATGTGCCAGATGTTGTAAGAATCATAAAGGTATATAAGACCTGGCTCCAGCCCTCAAGTGTATAAATCTGTTTGGTGGGGGCAGGGTATACCAATATCAATGTACGCCAAGTGCTTTATGTACATCATTTTATTCAATAATCACATCTATCCATTTAGGCATAAATTTTCAGTGTCAATGTTCTCTCTGCTATACTTGCTCTCTCCCTAGGGAGACAAAATTAAAACACATGACAAGTCCTGTTTAACATGGCAGATTGAACACATGTGAAGAAATTATAAAATTAAAAAGAATGTCCTAAAAGCTTCCAGAGAGGGGGGAAAAAGATCATATATAAGGATCAGGAATCAGAAAAGCATTTGGTCTTCTCAACAGCAACAGCAATGGATAAATATCAATGCCTTTGAAAGTTGGCCAGAAAATTATTTGCAACCTATAATTCTAAATCCAGTGAAACTATCCATAAAATTCAAATGTAAAGAAATATCCATATATGCTAAGACAAAAAATTTTACTCATCATGTATCCTTTCTTAGGAAGCTTCTAGAATGTATACTCAGCAAAACAAGTGAGTCCACCAAGAAAGAAGCAGCTATGGAAGCCAAGAAACATGGGAGCAATGGAAAGAAGCCCTAGAATGAGAGCTGAATATCAGGCCTAGAGAACAAGCAGTGCAGATTAGAGCAGGACCATAGAGGTCTCTGTAAAGGTGTCTCCAGAGAGAGAACTTGGTTCTTTGCTCAGGTTCTCACAGGTGGAAAAAGCAGATAGGCAGTGTAAATGTCAGGGGGAAGCTAAGCTGGCGGGACAGCTAGTGGGAATTCCTACATTTCTGAGATCATTCATGCACTCTTTCCTTCAGAAAGTATGGAATATTATCTGGGGTATAATGTTCACTTTAGGGCATCCAGTTTAAGAAGGACATCGATACTCCCTGTTCAAGCCAAATGAAATGAACATAAAGAAGTACAAATGGTAAATAAGTACCTAACATCTCTGACAAAGGATGAAGAACCATCAGTAGTCCTGAGATGCTGATGAATTTTTGGAAGGCAGATAGATTACAGAGGGCAGTAGTGAAAGCGTCAGTGGAAATGCATTCTTCATGCTAGAGCTCCAGAGGGGCTCCCAGCTAGAGTCAGCAGGTATGGAGAGCAGGAGTGGGGTGTGGGGCAATCATCAGAATAATAAATTTTAAAACTGTCCATAAAACAACCTGGGCAGCAATTTGCTATCTGTACATCCTACCTGTATAGCATACATACAGTAAAAACAAGTATATTTGCCTTCCAGTTCCAAATAAGAGAACTGCTTTCGAAAGAATTTAACAACCTACCTGCAGAAGGCTAGGACTTCTAATGCAGGTGTCAGCACTTCAGAGTAAAATGCATTTAATTTTAAATATGGGGGGCTCAAGTTTGCCTGCAAGCTGCTTGTGCACGCTAGGGTGAAATCTGTCAAACGACATATTTTGTCGACCTACACAGAACTCATGGGTCCCCATTCAGGAGAATGGCCTATTGGGCAAACAAAATTAACCAAAGGAAACAAAATCTACTCCAGCAACCTATAATGATCAAGCTATTCTTTTATTCTTATTTTAAGTGGACTAGAGGGAAACCAGTAGCACAAAAAGGAGGATGAGGATGAACAAATAGAATAACTGATCCTGGGCCAGGCGCAGTGGCTCATACCTGTAATCCCAGCGCTCTGGGAGGCTGAGGCAAGAGGATTGCTTGAGGCCAGGAGTTCGAGACCAGCCTGGGCAACGTAGTGAGACCTTCATCTCTATAAAAATTTTTTAAAAACTAGGTGGGTGTGGTGGTGTGCACCCATAGTCCCAGCTACTCGGGAGGCTGAAGCAGGAGGATCACCTGAGCCCAGGAGTTCTGGGCTGTAGTGCTCTATAATCACATTTGTGAATAGCCACTGCATGTCGGCCTGAGCAACATAGTGAGATCCCCATCTCTAAAAAAACAAAAATAAAAGAAAAACAAAACTGACCCTGGAATAAACAGATCATAATTCAGGGAAAAGAAAAAATTTTGAAAAAATTCCTATTACTATTCTCAGAGAGAAGAAGAAATCGCATACATAAAATAAGAATAGGATGTTTTTTAAAAAAGGAAAAGGAGAAAAAAAGCAATCTAAAAACAACAAAAAAAGAATTTTAGAAAGTAAAAATGGGATTGTTAATATTAAAAAGTCAATTAAAGGGCTGAAATAGAATCATGAAACTATACTGGACCATAAAACAAAAAGACAAAGAGTTAGAAAATGTGAGAGAAGTACTTTTTTAACAGAGGACTGAACCAGGAGAGTTTAGGTGTAGAGAAGCACCTCAAAAATTTTCATAGGGATAATACAGTAACAAAAATTGAGAATTAGATTCACATCAGACTTCTCATTGGTACCACTGGGTCCTAGAAACCAGTTGGGTCATACCTTCAAAGTTCTTAGTGGAAATTTTTTTGACCTAGAAATCTATACCCAGGGGAACTACAAATTAAGTGAGAGAACTTGTTCCTGCCTTAAGACCTTTACCCTTGCTGGCAATGTCTGCTTCTTTTTTATCATTCAATGCCACCTTTTCATAAAACAGCACGTCAAAGTTAAAAAAAAAAAATCAATTCCACCTTTTCAGAGAAGCTTTCTCTGCTACCCTGTCTAGAGTAGCCACCCCCACCAAGACCGTCTTTATTCTATTAACCTGTCTTATTTTCCTCACAGCATTTATCACTAGTTAAATGGGGTTTTTTTCATTTCTTATTTGTTGTCCACTTCTCTCCATAAGGACATTGTCATTTTTGACCACTG